CCCGGTCTAAGTTGTAGGGTTCTTTGTTAAAAGGTATTCTTTATCTTAGGTGTGAAAGCATTATAATCTTTCTTTTTTAAAAAAAAACATTAAAACCAGTGAACTTATGCAGTGTGGAAAGTTATTAATATAAATCCAGGTTTGCACTGCTTTCTGTTATAAATCAATTTTGCCATTCAGTTTATCTAACTTTATTGTTAAAAAAAAATGTAGTGATACTCTAGGCTATTCTTCCTTGCCTTTAACAAGGCAAAAATCCCTCAAGGACTTAGATCCTGGTTTCACTCTCTAAAGATACTGACTTAGTCTCTTCACAGAGAATATTTCCCCTACTCTGGCTTCCTTTATCAGAATCTATTTCTTCTCCACCAAATATTCATTTGTTGATTCAGTCATTCATTTCGCCAATCATAATATCTAACATGTGTGCTCCCTGCTATATAACTGTGTATGTTGACGCAAAATGGAATAGTTTTTTCCTCAGGGCAAACATTTTTTAGTCACTTACTAATGTCAACATATACATTCTTATGACTATTTTTGAGATAGTGTCTTGCTCTGTTACCCAGGCTGGAGTGTAGCAGATTATGGCTCACTGCAACCTACAACCCCTGGACTGAAGTCATCCTTGCGCCTCAACCTCCTAAGTAGCTGACAGTATGGGCCAGACCACCACACCTGGCTTCATTATTTATTTAATTACCTCAACAATTCTATGAGGTAGATACTAGGATAACCTACCCTCATTTTTCAGCTGAAGAAACCTCTTGTCTTCATGAAATCTACTAGATGAAATAAGGGCAAACAATACAAAGAGGAACAATTAAACATGCTGAAGTTAGCGGTGTGCACCTTACGGCTGTGGGATTTCCGAAAAGGAAGAGATTGCTGTTGTTTGGAGTGTTCAAGGATGACCTCATTAAGGAAATGGGATGTGATGTAGACCTGAAGAACAGAAGGATGGGGAGAATTTGGATGACTGGAAGAAAGGAGCTGGGGTATTTGGGTCTGAAGCGATAGCATGGGCAGAGATTCAGAGGTTGGTATAAGTCTGGTTCTTTTTTGCTATCACCAAGGGATTTGGTCTGACAAGAATGGATCAGACCAAATTTATATTGGTATAAAACGTTTGTATTTGGTATTAAACGGATAGCACTAATTATCAGACTGAAGAATGTCCTGTAGGTACTAAGGGGCAATTCAGGATTCTAAGAAGGGAATCTGAACATTGAGGAAACTGTTCTAGGAGAGATTTGGGACATGAGGAGGACATGAGGGCCAGAGAACACTCAACTGTAACTAAGGCTTTCAAGTTTGAATGACTGGAATCATGGAGAGATGGAAACATCTCGTTGGTTACTTCAGGCCAGGGGTAAAAAATATGGCAACCTAAAAATACAAAAGGGAAGTGCAAGTGCTGTTTGTCTCACATTCACTCGTTCATTTCTTCAAAAACACTTTGTGACTGAGACCATTCCAGGATCCGTGGCAATAAAGGAACCCAACCCCCACAGGTTCACTGGAGGAAGACACGCTAGTGTGGGATGGCTAGAGAAGGGCAGCCAATAGCAGGATCTTGATGAGTAGGATGTGGGAGCAGAGGAAGATGGTATTTTAGATGTAATTTCAACCAGAAAATATGTATTATTTCAATTCCACATGTATTTAGCATTCAAAGAGATGCCAGGGAGAAGAAAGTGGTAAACTTGTAGCTAGGAAGAAAGATATGTACTTATTCTCTAAAAAGGCAGAGTTGTAAGCTGAAGATCACTAGTAAATTTCTAATTAACTAAGTCCTGTATACTTGCTCAACTTTCTTTTAAGGGTAATTATTTAAAGCTTTTAACTAAGTTCTTACCTTTACGAAATTCTGTTTCTTTGTTTCAGAATGTTTAATTTTTTTCTCTTGTCTTATAACCCTTTTCTTTTTCAATGAATATGATTTTCTTCCCCACACACAAGGACCCCTGGCCTCAGCTTTCTACTTGCTTCAACAAACACACTCAGTTGTAAATCTCATAGTCCTCTGATGTCTAACACCATCTGAGCATATTTGCATAACTCTCAAATCTCTATCTCCAGCCCTGACTTCTTAGGTTTCAATTCCTCATTTCCAAAGGACATTCCCATATTCCCATATCTATATATCGTTTATATGAAAATACTTATGTCTAAAGGCTGGTTCAAGATCTTCTCAAAATTAGATCCTTCTGTAAATCTAGAAATAGCAAGTACTGCTATATTCTAAACATGTAGATCTGTAATTCAGAAGCCATTTTGCCTCCATCATTCAGAGAATCAATTACTTGTTAAGATGTCATGTTGCTAATTTCATCACTGTCTCCACCTTAGGACAAGATTTTTATCACTTCACACCTGGACAACTACAGTGACTTTCAGTTGGTCTCTCAGAGTCTGGTTTTCACCCACAAAAATCATGGTAGCATAACATGACCCAGACTCTTCTGTCTGGTGCTTTATATTCTCCACCATCTGGCTTCAACTTAAATGTCCAGCTTTATTTCCCATAAATTTCCTCCTAGGACTCACTGATTCAGCCAAAACCCCTTACTCACTATCCTCTGAATAGATGTCACACTTTCCCTTCTTGGCTTACAGACAGACTCCTCTTCAGCTAGATAGCCCTTCTTCACTCCTCCACGACTATTGAAAATGTATTTAGTTCGAATTCTACCTCCCTCACAAAACCTGATGTGAATGCCTATTCCATAGACTGTCTCTTACTTCTGAATTCAAGTAATTATGGGCCAGGTGCAGTGGCTCATGCCTGTAATCCCAGCCCTTTGGGAGGCTGAGGTGGGCGGATCACCTGAGGTCAGGAGTTCAAGACCAGCCTGGCCAACATGGCAAAACCCCATTTGTACTAAAAATACAAAAATTAGCTAGGCTTGGAGGTGCATGCCTATAATCCCAGTTACCAGGGAGGTTGAGGCAGGAGAATGGCTTAAACCTGGGAGGCAGAGTTGCAGTGAGCCGAGATTATGTCACTGCACCCCAGCCTGGGTGAGAGTGAGACTCTGTCTCAAGCAAAATAAAACAAAACAAATCAAAACAACAACAAAAAAACAAATAATTATGGCTCCTACCATTTGTTGTAGATTTATCATGCATTTTCACCATTTTTTTTAGGTGTATCAGTCTCATCTTCCAAATTAAATGATAACCATGTTTTAGTCTTCCTGACTCATCTTCCACCACACATGCACACAACAGTGACTATGTAGAATACCCTCAATGAATGCTTATCGATTTATTTATTGACTGAATACATATGAACTACAAGGTACGGCAGGTATTCTGAGGAAAAAGGGGTCTTTTAAGCCTGGTGAAAGGACATTCAAGATTGATTTTTAAACCTTCTGAATAGAGGCAATTTTTATTAACCTCACTTTAAGCTCTAGGTGTATACAACAGCTAGTAAATTGTTACTTTGTGGGGTAAATTTTCTTTTGTGACACTTTAAGTGCTTATAAGGATAATAAAAATCAGCTTTTATTTATGCTGAAGGCTGAAATTTAACATTTATCTTGAAAAAGAACTTAAAGCCATTTTTGATCCCATGAGTTGGGACATTATAGAAAGTATCTAATTCATGGTGTCACTTTATTAAAATGTTTTAACATGAAGTTATTTTATCTTGATTCTATTTTTACATGGTGATTAATACCCATGTAACACAGGATATTAAAACTAGAAGTATTCTTATCAAGAAACTAGTTCAATCTATTCATTTTGCAGTTGTGGAAACTGAGTTCCAAAGAGGAAGACCAACTTGCCCAAGGGTAAAATCTAGTCATTGTCAGGCTGTGTGTAAAAATTAGGCTTGTTGGTGCTTGATTTTATACTTTTTCCAGAATAATATATTGTACAGTTTTATTTTGTATCTTAAATTGACATTATTTGAATAAGTACAGTGACAATAGGTTTTTATCATTTCCCTTATTTTATACCAAGAAAAGTGAATGTATGCTTTTAAGTTATTAATAAGCTCATTTTAAATGGAAACACAACACAAGCAGTTTATTATGATGTGTATCAACATAACGGTTGATATAAATATCATCTTAGCTTTTTGAATTTCATAAAATTTCAAGTTTTTTTTCATGGATGAGTTGAGTAGAAGTAGTTATGTGATTTTTTGGTTTTGTTTTCTTTTGGAAGATAATTTTATAGTGGACACCATGCTAATATTTATGATGGTAGTGTAGAGGACTGTTTGAAACACCAAAAAAAAAAGTCTCATCTATAAAAAGAGAGATAAACATGTAAATCTGTGTTGAGAATGTGAAAGATGCCATTCAGTGTTTGGGAAAAAACATGGAATATCATAGCTGTCCTGAAGCTCCATTCTATTGCAGTAGCAGAGTAAAACAAAATACCACTCTACCTTCCTACTGTAATGTTTTAGTTTCATTAAAAATAAGTAAACTTGTCAATTCTTCTCTAAAATTTCTGCCTGAAAAACATTATTTAGAAGGGTTCAAGGATTCAGACGATTATAAGTAAAGGAAGAATTAAAAGGAACTCAAATGATTAATTATGTTCATGGAAATTTGTCTTTCTGAAAAAAATGTTTTCTAATCTAAATTACACTATATCATTTGGATTCTCAATGACTGATACCAAGCGGTGGCTATAGAGGTAAATCATATCCTAATTTAAAAAATTTTTGCAGGCTTTTAAAATAAAAATACTACTAGAAATTCACCCAACTCATGCAATGAAAGGATCCTTTCATAGAATTAAGTATTCCCGAGCTTACAGGCAAATTAGGGGTAAGAGAATGAAAGATATATTTGCTTAGTAAAATACCAAAATATAGGAAATTTTCATCTGAAACAAAACCAGAGACCTATAAAGTCTGACTGACTCGTTAAGTCATGGAGATACAAATGGATGAGTCAGTGCTTCTTTCCCTGCCTCACTAAACTCACATGACACAGGACAAATACGGTCTGAGCGTGGCAAACATAACTCACCTGTACCATTGTTAATTGTGGTCTGGATCGTGGCTTCTGGCCCCATAGTGTCATAGTCTTCCTTCATTTCTTCTGTGGGGGAAAATTAACTTTAGCATTTGAGAATTGTAGAAAGGCTTACTATACTAAGCATGCCAAGCACAGGAACAAGGAAGATTCTTTTAAAGGAAACAGAGAAAAGGCTTGTTGTAAACCTCTAAACAATAGCTTTGTTCAGGCAAT